TAAGATTCTTGCATTGGCATATTTAAGATATTTTGCTTAAAGAAGGTACATTATTTATTTTTTAAAAATAATTATAACATTATAACAACAAAAACCAAATTAATGTTATAAACCTAGTGAGCGAACATACAAAATTATAGTAAAGCTATTTAACCCGATTCCAGATATTTCTGAGCAGTTTATAATATCTTTGGTAGGCTACTACTAAAAATATAAATGATGTTTAAAATATTATTTAATAACTGTACTGCGTGAGTTAAGGATGCTATATATTGTTGAATATACCTTTGCACATAGTCAAGATTTTAAAAGCTCCGCTCGCATCCTAGGGTAGACATAACCCATTCAGCCCCTCCCTCCTGCTCCTATAAGTGCCCGAACAATGTTTCTTGTGATATATCTAATTACCTATAAATATAAGTTAAATAGAAAATATCTAGATAAGGACAGATATTGTTCAAGTACATATAGTATATATCTCAAAGGAAGGAAAAGTTTCTTATGTATTTTTATCTACGTAAAAAAAACTATTCTCTTATCCACGACTTTCTTTTTATAACATTTACCTCTGGCAAAAAGTAAAAAAAAGTCGTCTGTATAGGTAACTCTCGTGTTTCTGCTATGAAGCTGCTGTGCTTGCATGGCTATGTTTCGGTTTAAATGATGGAATGTGGCAGTGAATTTACAGGATACTTACCAACATCATAGTCCTCAGGAATGGCAACGCATGAATTCTACTGTGGCCATGGTGTTGTTCATCTGTATTAGCCATCAGCTTGTTTACCATTGTAAGTATCATATAAAATCTTTTCTATCCAGTGTAAAAATTAAACTTCATACTGGACAGCTCATACAAGTTGAAATGTTAAAAGCATTTTAACGTTTCAACCGCATCCAATTGCGCGCTTCGCTCAAAATGAAGTTTTGAGAGCCACAGTAAGTACTAACGTATTTGACCAGTCATATTTAATTTTCTGTTTGAAAATGTGATTCGAAATTTCGAAACAAACAAAACAGTATATAATGAAACGCGAGCGTATTTATAGTTGTTCCTTTAGTAGTCATATTCATTTACTATAGATGATACACTGAGAACATTTTGAAATAAAAATGTTACTTAGATGAAATGACTTTAACTCAAAAATCAAGTCTATTGATTGTTCGTATATGCTGTTATGATATTCGCATTCCTGATTATCATCATACCAGCCTTTAAGTGTCTACTGCTAAACAAAAGCCTCCCACTTGGGGAGTTTTGCCAGTAGTTGTCTCGCTTGGCAGGCGGATTGGCAACCGCAGTCAGGCTTTAGAGATGTTTTAAGAGGGACGCTCCAGCCTATCCTTCGACTGTTAAGTTCATTTAGCGCTCTTCATAGCGGAACATATATTGATGTTAGTATCACCAAATCCTAACTGCGGTTCCCAACACGCCTACCAAGCATGGAAACTATCGGCAAAATACCCCTTATGGGGGAGGCTTTTGTGACAGTTAACGTCTGATATAATCAATGCATATTAGTCTTGTATATATCTAGTATGTAGAACTTGTTCCAAATATCTTCGGTTCTATTCTATTAATTTTAATAAAATTAGGCCTATGATGAAGCTAATATTTTTTATAAATCAAACTATTCGTATTGCATTTATATTAGTGATTCAAACCGTTTGTGAAGTGCAAGTAAACTGTTATGTCAAGACAAGTAAACGATTCAGTTTCTGCATTTATATGTAAATTCAATTGTAGCTAGCGATAGCGAGTCCATTTGCAGCGAAGAATGGTTTCGATTTTCGTACCTATTTACCTACTTTTTCTTTATTCAATATATAAGTAGGTACTTATGTAAACGTATTTCACTTCGCAAAGGTAAAACAGGCATGCTTGTATAGTTTAGTTTCCGTTTCAAAAGTGAAGATGTGACATGGCAGTGAAATTACAGAGTACGGAAGCATAACGCCATTATTCCTATAAATTGTAACACATGAAGTATCACCGTGTATTCTGTAAAGTCCATGGTGCTGTATTTTAAACAAAAAATTGTAAAAGTAGGTATTTTTTAAAATATCATTAAATATCTCTACAGCTTTTTTTACAAAATCTATCAATACAACAGCTGTCACCGACACCATAATACAACCATGAGAATAAATCTACAAACGTAGAACAATTATATCCGTTACAATACAATGCACAGAATTATGGGATTTTCCTTAAATGGGGAAGCTTATCATCTTATCAACTATCGCTAATTTTCTATTTCAGTAAATTTAATGATAGTAGAAGCTGGCTATGCGACTAACTTTCTAGAACGGGCGTAAACAGCTTTCTTGTCATCATCTGTAAATCTATCTACTTTAAAATGTGCGAGTACTTTGCGTTATGGCGTACCACAAATTATCTTACTAATAAACACAATTATAACTAGATGTATACGAAAGATATTAAAAAAAAACTATATTCGGAATCTTAAGAGAAATAATAGAAACAGAAACAACATTTATTTTTTATGTTTCCTCTGAAATCACGTAAAAACTACTGCACCAAATTGGATGCGGTTTTCATAGTTGTATTTCTGGAGGTTTAACTTAAGAACTGGTATGTTTAATCTTTATGCGCCATCTAGAAGTTGTCTGTTTTATTAGTTTTCCTACTTCTGAAATCCACATATATAGAGTGGCAGGTAAAAGACTAGTCTATATATATAAAAATTAATGCCACTTTTCGTTGTAATTTTATAACTCAAGAACGGGTTCACCTATCCATAGCAAATGTTTAGGCTTTGTTCGGACTATTTAGTAGATGGTTTATGTGAAGTTTGCACAAAATTGGTCGAGCAGTTCTTCATTTATCACATTTTTGTAACAAATGAATTCAATAAATGGCGGATAATTTTGTTAATGGGGATTTTTGTGTCAAATTCAAACTTTTTTTAAGGTGAGGAATGTGCTGTCAAATTGAAACTTTTTTCAGTGCTGACAGTACAATTAAAATAGCTAGCAATTAATAAAATACTTTTATTGTTTGAATAAATAAATTTGATGTTAATTTTTTTTTATTATTATTATTTCACTTTATACGTAGCGAAGCACGTACCTGGCCGCTAGTATATTATAAAATAAAATTGTTCTGTTATTATTCCAACCATAAAATTTTCCTTCACAAATTTCAAGAGGTACTAGAAAAAAAGTACCTTAAAGGACGTAATACTACAGAAGAAATGAACAGTACCTAGAAGTTATATGGGTATATTAGATAGCCTGGTGTTACTTACCTAATAATAAAATATATAGAAATACGCAATTAAATTCTTTCTAAGATTATAACACTGAGGTGGCACACAGCATGCGATCCGATGGAAAATAATTACTACATTAAGTACCTACTTACCATTTATAATCTATGATAACTTATGAAGACCTGCAATAACAAGATAATGGCGTGCGCAACATCAAACCTGATCGAATCTTTTCATGTGCCATAATTGACGTGTATAATTACTTATTATTTTTAGCTGGAAAAACTGGGAGACAAACGACAAAGCAATCCCTTATTATTCTCTGTATTTTTTCCTTTAATTCGTTCTTACGAACGGAGGTACCTATACCTATACCTTTATAATAATTCTAAGAATGTCGCCCAAGGATCACTTGAGCAATCACTCCGGAATAACGCAATTTTTTTCATGCACCGTGACCCTATGAGGAGTTGAAGACTAACTTCGCAGAGAAATATTACAAAAAGTAAAAATAAGTACTTAATAGGTACTTATTTCTCAGTACGGTTCACCTTTCAAGAACTTAAGAAATGAGCTCTTAACTGACTGTAATTTTAATAATTATATTAAGAAATAATATAACTATATCAGTTTTACTCTCGTATTTAGGAATTAGAATTTAAATTTAAATTTTTTTAGAACTTCATCAACGACTATTCGTAAAGAGATTTCTTGATTAAACTAATCTGGATGTCATAAAAAAAAATACTTATTACAATAACAAGACACACCACTATCTTTCTATGCGAATCTACCTATTTTGTTTGTATTTTTGTCGCTGTATGTATTTTTCAAACGTCAAGTAACAATTTTCCCTCCAATCCTACTAGTTGACTACATCCATAGAGTTAGTATAACATAGTAGGTGCTTACTCATACTTGAACAATTTTTTTCACACTCAGTTATTTTTTCTACTTAACTAGTAAATTAAAAAGAGCTTTGTGCCCGATGTATTTGTTTACAGCAATGTTTTTCAAAGTATGGGTCGTGATACCCTGGGGATATATCGTGATACCCCCAAGACTCTACAAGGGAGTCACGGAAAAAGCGACAACGTTCGAAAAGATATTTTTATGAATATGTTCATTAAAGAACATTCATTGTAGATAGGCTAACACAATTTAACAAAATTAAAAAATTAACACGAGTCACATTAATATAAAGTGAGCGCCTGTTTTATGTTAACCAATTTCTTCTAATACGAATTTTGCTACATTAATAATTAAATTGTTTTTCAAATTTAGGCGATTTCTCCATTAATTTTTGTATTAAATTTTTTTATATATTTAACAAATACCTAACTATGGAAATAAATAAAAATGTACAATTTGATATTTGTTATATAATAAAATACTTACAAGTTAGGAACCGCGGAAGAAAACTAAGGGAGTCGCGCCATGAAAAAGTTTGAAAAACACTATTTATGGTTTTTATATTATTATTATTATTTTTTTTGCAGTATATATTATTTTAACATTGATTATACTAAAAGGAGGCTTATGCGTTACTTTACCTAGGATCCTGTTAATACTGCAGTTTTTATAATCCAGATTAATATTACGTTAAATATAAAGTTTGCTCTAATAGAACTTAAAAGGTAAGCAAGTTTAGTTGAAATTATCATAGAAATAGTCTATGAATGAAATTAGTAAAAAAACATTAAAAATTTTTATTTGTAATACAAACCAAATTATAGCTTTTAACAGATAAAATAAAACGAATACCAAGTAAGTACAATATTTTATTATAAATATAATCTCAATGTTAGCGTTGAAACCCTTTTGCCTTGATTGGTCAGTTTATTTTCAGATAGATTGATTACTTATACCACTTTAACGATTTAATTACAAAGTGAATTTTATAACAAAGATTCAAAGTATAAGATAATTTTATTATCACACATTAAGACAATATTAATAAATAATACTAAGAAAAAAAATATGTATACGAAAATTACTGAGAAATTACTTAATTATTGCAAAACTCGTGAGAAATAAGCGCAAATTTTGATATTTGATTTTTTTAGCCATATAATATAAAATTTAAACAATGTTAGATATTATTGCACGAACTTCCAATGTACAAGTTTAAAAATGAACTGCAAATAGTTGGTGAATTTGTTAAAGCCAATGGGTTAAATTTCCTTTAAAAAAAATTTACAATTGGTACTAAATGGAGCCGATGACCGACGCATGTATCATGTGTGTGTTAGATAAATTCTTTTTTCTTCAAACACGTAATTATCGATTTTAAATACATTCTATCCGCCTAGTCTCTTCTACATATTTTTTTAGTCCTTAAATTAATTGCAGTGCATTTTTAAATTTCGAGTAAAAATATAAGAGTTTAGTCACAAAAAATGATTAAAACAATGAGCAATAATACCAATACGTAATTTCTTAAGCAGAGTAGAAGTTTTACAATAGCATTTGTTCTCGCTTAATATCTATTATAAAAAGCTAGTTTAAAAACAAATAAGCGTAATTATACACAATACACATAAGTATTCTGATGAAGCTAATGACTGAAATAAATACTAATACTTAAGCATATTAATAAGCTCATTACTAAAAAAAAAACCCTCAAAAGATCTATATTTTAAGCGTAGATTCAAACGATAATAATATCTTTTCATACTTACTGTAACTAAAACTTAACTGTACGCAAAAAATGTATCCATTATTTATTTTACGAAACATTTTGTCATGCTATAAGTCGTAAACTAAAAATGCCTATTCGATACTCGTGATGGTGGCTAAAAAAGTACCTATTACTACTTATTGCTACAATCTGAAAGAATTTCATGGAAAACAGATATTCGTTTACATAATTTGTATGGTATGAGTAATAAATTTAATAAATAATCAATAATAAAGTAGTTGGAAACATTAACTGTTAGCGTCGTCGTATCTTACTAGAATTTAACGTGGTATTATTATTATTATTATATTAATGTTTGTGTTAATTCTTGGTATTTTTCTAACGGTACCAAAGAATCATTCTTTTCGAAATATAGAGCTATCAAATAGTTGCAAATTCTAAGAACATATAAAGACAGTATGTTTTTCAACAAAAATGTTTCTTCTTAGTACTTTCATTTATGGATTATTGCCATAACACGAAACATCACTAAACTTGATGTGTTTTAATAAAATTTGTGCAAAATGTATGCGGCGCTTTCCACAAGAATTGCTAGGCACGAATATTAAAATTCAATTTTAAATCATCAACAGTATTATTGACTTATGTATTACTACACAAAAAAGCTTAGTAACAACGTCATTAGATTCGATTTCGATAAAAATAAATTTATTCAATTATTTATTTATTAAATTAATCTGTGTTTATAACTTGTACGTTTTTTTTTTTTGCTTTGGAAGATTGACACAATTTGTTTAATGTAATAGTGACAGACTGTTATATTATCTGTGGTCATGAATTATATCGTACAAAGGATCCAAATTATGTAAATAGTACAATAATAATTTAAAAAGTATACAATCACTATTTTGAGTTAGTTATACCCTTTTCGAATGACTCTTTATAAACATTATAACACTTTATTTGTTATTAAATATCGACGATCTGCACAACACTTACTTAAAGTATTAAAAAATAAAATTCTAACCATTAAAATTAAATTGACATACTAGAAATTACACTATATATAACTACACATTACTTCAAAATCCTTACAAACATCTTACAGATGGATATATCGACTTTTATTAAAAATTTGCAATTTTATGAATCTGTCAACATGATAACAATGCATAATAAACGAGGCACAAATTTTACAACGTATTTAATGAAAATACGCATTAAAATAGTTAAACGGTTACTATTAAACAGTTAAAATTTAAATAACCTTTAAATAAGTTTATACGTAGTGATTTTTAAATACACTGTTTTGTTTTTGTATGGGTCTTATTTTTATACTACTGACATATTTTTTTTACGTTTCAAATATTTTCAAATAAGTATTTTCTTTAGATGTTTTAAAGTAATAATTAAATTATATTGTTTCATGTTTTTATTTTGTATATGAATATGTTATTTAAATAATATTAAAATATTATTTTAATAACATATTAAAATAATATTTTAATATGTAATACATATTAAAATATTATTTTTCTAAATATTTATTTTATATTATTGACAAAGTAAGAAATCACTTGCAATAAAAACCTATGAACGCTATTGATAAAGATATAAAAAAAAAAAAACTTAAGAAATAATTGACGATAAGTACATTGTTAAATAAAATACTTTTATTATTACTTCTTAGAAAATACTTTTTATCAATTTATCGATAATAATTATCACTAAAGTTTATAAATCAGTTGATACTAAACTATTCACAAGTTTTCGCCTTAGACTTATTAAAATGTGTTAAAAATCACGTTTCTAAATTAATCACGTTACCTAAATCATAAATTGCATAAATTGGAAGTCATCTTAAAAAAATTAATTAAAAAACGATAACACATTATATGAAGAAAGATGGCCCTAATTAGATTATTCTATCTCAATTTTAAAACCACTCAACCAAATCTTGTTATAATTATAAAAATTGTAAGTGAGATTTTCTACAAATTATAATGCTCAGAGAAACAGGTTAAAGTGTAACTACATTAAAAAAGAAAATGGAAAATTATTTATTACAAACACTTATTTATATGTTCGAAAACTAGTTGCATGAGGAAATTATAAAAAACAGTGCAACTAAGTAGAAATAATACGAACTTTCTTCAAGAACTCACAACAGAACCTGTGAATTTAATGCCTTATGAGATCGTACCGCCGTAGTGGCATTATATCAAGGTCTATTAAATATAGACACGTATGGCAAAATAATGTGTTGAATGTATTATCAATCAATCAAGACGACTCTACAAAGATCATAAAGAAAAAAATATCTCAAGTAAAATTATTATCAAATATTAAGATATAAAATAAAATAATTATTCCTAATAATCGGGAATCAAATTCGCCTTTTTACACTTTACTTGTCGTATGAATATATAATTACTAACGTAGTTCATAAAAAAAAATAAGCAGTGATAAATTGGATTGGAACGCTTCTAATAAAAGTTTCGCTCAAAATACAATCATTTATAAATCTACGAAAAAAAAAAAACTATAACCGAGTACTACGAATATACAGGTAATGCAAACGTGACGAGAAAAAGGGAGCGGGATTTTTTATTAATAACTAACTTAACTTTAAATTCATCTCTCACTGGTACCTCGCCAGCGTATATCGATAGCGTAGATACCATTCCAATTATATTAAGCAACTTCGCTCATATTTTTCCGACATCTCCGCAAAACGCATACTAATACTAACACAAATACAGTATCTAGTTAGTCATTAACTAATATGGAAGGTTGTTGAACTTCTGGTAATAATAACAGTCAATCATTGAGTGTTGGAAATCACACGCATACTAATGGTAGCGGAATTAAACAAAATAATTCTAATTGACTAACCAATGATATGGACTTCTACAAAATAACATCTCCTTCAATAAAGTAAATACGGTAAATGCGTTTACCATAACTATCCGTGTACTAATTCTATTGGGTGCCTAGCCTATGTCAAATACCGCAGCTCAGCAAGATTTTATTTTCCCTAGACAATTTCCAACAAAATCAACTTTATAGTATTGTACAACATTTTACTTTTTGATTATATCAGGATGATATTTTTTTTTCAACAGGGGGCAAACGGGCATGCGGCTCACCTGATGGTAAGTAACTACCGCCGCCCATGGTCACCCACAACACCTACGGCATTACAGGTGTGCTGCCGGCCTTTTAAAAAGGAATATGCTCTTTTCTTGAAGGTTATGTTGTTGTATTGGTTCGGAAATACTGCTGCTGGAAGTTGATTCCAAAGAGTGGTTGTGCGTTGGAGAAAGTGCCTTGAAAAACGCACGGTGGAGAACCGCCACTCGTCCAGATGGTTGGGATGAAATTTTAGTTTATTTTAGTAAATTCGCACCTTACCATGTCGTACCGTTAAAATATAAAGGTAAATACAAATAGACTAGTGTTATTACCGGTAATTACATAAATACCGATATTTTCTCATATTCCTACCATTAAAATAGCTGAATGAAGAATATCCTCATTCTCATACCTACCATTAGGAATACGAGGAACTTACAGTACTCCAAACTACGCCGAGGCTGGTTCGACTAGAGCTGCTTGCGACAAAGATATTTGATTCGAACTCGGCAATGGTTTCATAAGCATCATTTTAATGCACGGCGCTAGTAAATATATTAATACTGCTGCAGCTATTATAGATATTACGCACAATGTCCATTGCGCTGCCTTTATGGATACAGCCCCGTCTGATACAACCTTGATTAGTTGACACGTGCTTCTGATCGACGCGGTCACGTTGTACGGGCCCGTGATACGCGCGTTCGGACCGCAGTTAGATGTCTCCCAGCCGATCCAGCCGGCTGATCGATTAAATAGAACCTGTAGATTACAATTCAGAACTTTTTTATATGGTTCATTACTATTTATGTGATGATGTTCGTTTACACAAGGGATGAGTAGCAACGTCTCTCTTAAAATATCATCATCTCAGCCATTATCTGTCCATTGCCTAATATAGACATTCCCCATAAACTGCCATAATAGCTGAGCCACCTGTATCCAATAACTCCCGTCAATGCAGTTTAAGTCGACACTTTATATAGTGGAGGATCGTTCTACACTATGTTTGCTCTTAGTCTTAAAACATCACTAAGACTTAACTGCGGTTGCTAATCCGCCTGCCAAACGTGGCAACTAATGGCAAACCTCCTCTTATGGGAATGGTCTGTTCAGCATCGAGCAGCTAACGGCTGATATGATGATAATGATGTTTATTCAATCAAATCTACGAAATCTTGTTCCAAAATTTTCAAATTTGAAAGATTGAGAAAAATGGAACCGGTAGATGCCGGTATGCGGCAAAACAACATTTGCTGGATCAGATAATACATTTATAAATATTTGTTAATTTAATTTCCTTGAATGAAATGTATTTTATGTTATAAAATCACCTGTAATCCTTCCATAGCAGTGTATCCCAAAACGGTCTCCTTTCCCCCAGCTTCCAGACCTAATTTATAACAGAACTCTGGTACTGTTCCATTCTCACTGCTGCTATTGCGGGCAGACACTACTCGCATGTAATTCTGAAATAATTTTAAATTAAATGAAAACAAAAATAATAAAAATATTTTTCCATTTTTTTTTTATTTGTTAATTAGTATCTGTACACTTCACAAAACTTTCACAGTTTAAGTTCTGGATCGTGCGTATTTATCTATATTTTAGATCTAAAAACAATGCCACTAACAAATGTATTATTATTGTAGTACTTACAGTGCTAAATAGTACTGTTAAGTGATAGAAAAACAATATTCGAATTAAACAAAAAAAATTAATAAACTTAATACTTATGTAAAATATCAATAGAAAAGAAAACAGATTACATATACATTCAATTCCACATGTACTACTTTATGAAAATTTCACTATGCCAACGGACCTGAACAATTAAATAAATAAAGTGTAGTAATATTTTCTCATTAAAATTGTTTGCATCGAATCAGAAATTTGCAATGATACCAAATCTCAATTTTACATATATAACACAAATTTAAAGTATATTGACTCTCATGACATGTGATTTTTTAAACTACCATTTAATTAAAAAATCTGTTTCAGCTAAATAAAATAGGCAACAAAGGCAACCGCGTTTCTCCTTTTCCAAAAGGAGAATACAAACATTTTTTAATTTGAACTTTTTTCACCCTTAACAGGGGCTAATTTAGAAAATAAGTAACCATGTTCTTTCTGAGTGTACACATACCTATTTTCATCGAAAATCAATTAAGCCATGAAACCTAAGTAAACACATAGGTAAATTATTTTTTAAATTGCCGTCGAGTATCCTTGCATACCCTAAAGGTTGACTAGTAGAGAATGCCTATAGCATTAACGCCGCTTTTTGTAAAACATTTTATTGGTCAATAGTTTAAATAAATAAATAAACAAGGTTTTCCCTAGAGACTACAATATAAGGTTCTTCAAAAAGGGTATATAAAGGTTTCTTCAGGGTCGGTTCAATGCGACATGACACCACTAGTGTTGCAGGTGTCCATTGGCTACAATGATTGTTTACCAAGAGACAGGCTATATGCTTGTTTGCCACCTTTGTGGTATAAAAAAAAAGTTACTATGCAGATTAAACATACCTGTGGTGGTAGTTCCAACGTGAAATACTCGTGATCCGATTCTTCACTAAGTAGGTCTATCGCCAACCATGGCAATGACCAATTCTGAGGTTCTGTCCAACATGCAGCCTGGAATTTATATAAAGACAATTACGTTAGATCAAAATGTTTCAACATGCTTTGTTTTTTAAAGGAAATTTTTAAATAACAAAGTGTTCTAGAAGCACAACAGATGGTATGTATTATTGGTACAAGAGGGTGACACCTACACATAAGTAGTAGTAATTTAAAGACATATATAAACTTATTAAGTTATACACAAAAGGTGAAAGACAGGGGATTATTAAATTCTCGTAATCATAATAATACTCACTTCAGCGTGGTACCAGAACTCGTCCAATATAAGAATATTAGATGCCAAAACTGCATTTTTTAACTTATCCACCACCTGAAAAAAAAATACATTTACTATTAAATTGGTCACTACTAAACATGACTTCTAACTAATGTTGCCAACCCACCTACCAAATGCAGCAACTACTAACAAAACTCCCCTTATGGGGAAGACATGTTCAGCAATGGACAGTTAACGGCTGAAATGAAAAATGTGGCTTTCCCTATAAACTATATAACAAAATGTCCAGAGACACTTATACAAAATTCGTCTGTTACCTCTGTCCCATTGAATTTCGTGCCGCAAAACAGTTGTGTTTATATGGCTGCGTTTCGGTCTAAAAAGTGGGATATGGCAATCAAATTACAGAGTACAGAGACACCTTAGTCCTCAGGAATTGCAACGCATGAGGTATCATAGGCGATTTAGTATACTCTGTTATGTCTATGGTACTGTTCCTGTCCATATGCAACGGTTATCACTTTCGATCAAGTGAGGCATCAGCTTGTTTACCGTTCTAAATTGCACAGGAAAAAATACTTATTAAACCCCTGTAATTTGATTTCTACATTTAGGGTCATTGGCATTCTGCTTGTAATAGGACCTACAGATCTACAACTACTAAAATTAATAAATGAATGAAAACTTTTTACAGTTCCCCTCAAAGAAAGATAAGTGTCTAAGTTTTTTTATAAAACATGGAAATGAAAATAAGTTGATAGCCCACCTGATGGAATGTTGTAACCACAGTTTAAAGACAAACAGTTCCATAGACATCAAAAAGTATACTATAAAGTATACTCCTCATAAAACCGACTTAGTCTAAAGGATAAGCAAGCTAAAGTAGCAACAAACGAGTCACATAGCTCGAAGAACCGATAGTAAAAAAAAGTTTTTGAGTGGTGATTCCATATGCAGTGTAGGATCACCCCCACTAGTTGGAGCAACAACCTCAAATATATTGCAGGAAATCAGAGAATGCAGGTGGCTCAGGACCTTTCCTTATGATAGTCTATGGGAGGGGGGGCATCATTGTTAGTAATGGGGAGGTTAGTCCTCATTGCTATCAATATACCCTACCAGGTCGACCTCCACGCGGTCCCCCCTGGAAGCCATCATAACTAATTTAGCGTTAAATTCGTCACAATGGGCTAACTGACCTGCCTTTGCATCTTCACCAATCATCCCTCACTGTGTATACCGATAGCAAGTCAAAAAAATAAGTCTGTGTTTAGCAGTGGATAGACAATGCTGATATGATGATGATGATGACTCCTACTAACATGTCAATGTTTCTGAATCTATTATTTTTGCAAACAATCATATAAAAGCTAAACAAACCTGTCGAAATAAGTCATCAGGCAATCTAATATTAGTAGTACCACTGTCCACAATACTTTTCTCCTCGTTTAGTTGCTGACACATTTCTATATCCAGATCTCTGGATGCGTCATTGTCTTGACTATTTTTAGTTAAGCCAACCTCATCTACTGTGTTAAGTTGTTTTTGAAATAGTACTCTGATTGATAACACGCCAACTTCATACCAACGTTTGCGCAATATTGGCGTACGAAATATACTTTGGTGGGTTTCATCTGCATTATCTGTAAAATAATATATATAATAAATACATAACTGAATAAATGATAACATTAAATACATGCAAATTGCAGATTTATGGCAATACAATAGGTGCTCTTTTAAGAATAATCATATCCACCCACCCCTGGTTACCCCATTCTGTCTTGTGGGTGTCATAAGGGGCTTAGTGGCTTCCCGTAATTTAATTGTCGCGGGTTGGGCAGCGGTTGCCATCACACCTGACAAGCATGACAACTATTGTCAACACCTCCCCTCACCCCTTTATGAGGGAGGCCTATGTCCAGCAAGGAACAGTTATGAGCTGATATAATAAAAATTTTTTTTTTTTTGAGTTTATTCATTACAAGTAATAAATCAATTCGTGTTTCAACCGTAAAGCAGTTGTGTTTGCATGGCTGTGTTTCGGTTTGAAGGATGGGATATGGCGTGAATTTACTGGGTACAGAGGAATAATACCTGAGTCCTCAGGAATGGATATGGGGGTATCATGGGCGAAACAGTATACTCTGTTATGTCCATGGTACTGCTCATGTCTATAGGCGACGGTTACCACTTTCCATCAGGTGGGCCGTCAGCTTGTTTGCCATTCTAAATTGTATTACAAAAAAAAATTAAAATATATATATAAGCCCCTTTATAATATTAATATAAGTTTCGATAATTTTAAAAAACTATATATTACAATATGTATGTATGTTACTTCAAATCTATATGTACGATAAACCTACCAATCACTCTAAAATTTCCATAATGTGTTGCATTAGTAGGACTTTTGGCTCCACATAATTTCAACTCAAAAGACGTTGGTATTTTTAATGTTCTATCTAATGAGTCCAACCAGGATTCCACCACGAGATGATCTCCCCAAGCGCCTACTGGTAGGTATGCAAGCCCCAGAAGACCCTAGTAATGAAAGAAAAAATACTGTATAAGTAGCAAGTCTATTTTTATCAATCTTTCTTTTATTTACCAAACTAGTTTTTGCTTGTGACTTCATCTGTATAGATTTCGGTAAAAATTGGTTTATTATTTCTTGAATGTATTAAATTTAATTTGATGCCTCGAGCCACGTAGCTCCCTCAAAAAATTCTTATAAAAATAAGAACCATATAAGTAATAAAACAAAAAACAATATTCATTATAAAAAAAAAAATTAATATATACCTGCCAACCTGATCCATTCATGAAGAATTTATGACTCTTCGTTATAAGCGCCATATCAGTTCTGACTTCTGGCAAATTTGATAGAGAAGGGAATCGGATGAAATCGGATGCCAATCGACCCAACCACATACCTTGAGAATATTTTGCTTGAATCTATAAAGAAAAACAATATTTTAGAAACTTATATAATATAGAATTTACTTTTTTTAACTGATCATTATTTCAGTCATTGACTGTCCACTGCTGAACATAAGCCCTATAAGGAGTTTTTCCAGTAGGTAGTTGCCATGCTTGGCAGTCAAGTTGGCAACTGCAGTTAAGCTTTTATAGATGTTTTGAGAGAGATGCTGCTGCCTATCTCTTAATTATTATTATTATCTAAACTCAATTGTTTAAAAAAAACTAATCATAGGATATGTTGTATGATTACCACTAAAAACTGCACTTTCTTCATTTTTGCCATTAAAATAAAAATTATCAGTAAAAGCTTTATAAGAATATTAATGCTTATCTATCAAAAAACATTTAAATAATTAGTAAAAGTTTAAGTTAAGAATTGTTTAATTGTTTTTGAAAACTGACAAATAAACATGACAATGGCTATATATATATTACATACCTCCTTCCCACTGTCATTAATACTAGTTGAATTGGCAAAATGAAAATATTCATCATTATCTTGTCGTGGATAAGTTGCTATTGCCAATGTTGTGCTACCAGTATCCACCAGTACATTAAGCTGGAAATTAAAATTTAATGTTTCAATTTCAATCCAGTACCAGTACAGTAGTATATCATTAAATAAGAAGGTGTTGTTAATAATGGAGGCTAGCTGCTTCATTGCTAGTAATACATATGCATATCCCATCAGGTATTTTTTTAATGAGAAAAAATGGAGCGATGATCCCTCCTGTGCTATTAGTATACTCTAATTAAGCACCAATAGGATATGATCATGAGAATAAATGCAGGTCTGATAGCCCATCATGATGAATTTAACAAGAATTAGTCCCAATGATTTTAAAGAAGAACCACGTATAGGTCGATCTCATATTATGGTATTACAGTATTATATTAGGGTATTACTAGCAATGGAGCTGCATTAATAATCCCTTTCCCTCTTCTCCCGTCAGGTTGACCTTCATAAGGTTCCGCCTGGAAAACAGTAGTATTTAGCATGAATTTTCATCATGAAGTATCAACTGACCTAATTCTATCCTTACTTATCAACTGTAACTGGCACTCAGGGGGGGGGGGGAAGGGATTGTTAGTAATGGAGACTGAGAATCTCATTGCTAGCATCATACTCAACCAGGTAAACCTCCTCGCGGTTCTCCCCGGAAACTAACATAGTTAATTCTTGATGAATTCATCATGGTGGGCTAACGGGCCTGTTTTCATTCTCATCTACGACCCTTCACTGGTGCTCGGCCAGCGTATCCCGTTTGCGTAGGCGGGGTTACCATACCATTTTCACCCATCAAAAACAAACTGGCACTCAGGCAAGCAGGATTGCCATTTCACAAATTTTTCTTAAAAATACTTTAGATTTTCACTATAAGTATATAATTACATATGAAGCATTATAAATATCTTAAGTACCGTAAATCGTTTTAAATCATTTACTTATATTCAAGAGAAATATGTATCCCAATGAGACTACTATTGGTTCAAAGTGATACCAATATCTTCCTTGTATTAACTTTAAGACATCTGACAACTTCATTTTCCATTCTTCACAATTTTAAAAATAATTTATACCTTTTGACTGGGATGACCTAGGTAAACTTCTATAGCGTATGCTTGACCAGCGTCTCCATGCAAATTATAATCTTCACCGCACACAGCATTTAGTAAAAATGAAAATAGAATGGATATGTACAACATTTTTACGTAATCTTGTACATTCTGAAACAAAGTAGATTATGTAACATCAGCGTTGTGCCGATAATATCATAAAATGAATTTTGTTTTCGACTTTGTTTTTGTAAATAAAGAAGTCGGTCGATCTACCGATACAACTGCCAAACCAAACTTCCAAATCTACCTCTGTCATAAGTCACAAAATACTCTGTACCACAGATTAGAGAGATTATTTCCTGCCCATAGACGTACGTACCTAATGTAAATGAACAAAAATTTTACATGCACATTTTCTATACACTAGCCTGCTATGAATTGAGAAAAATAATATATAATAATATAAATAATATATTATATAATATATAATAAAACTGATTTAAGAGTCGACACTGAAGCTGGATATGAAGCAATGAAACAACTTTTGCATAAAAAAAAAATATAGTGCTGTACAACTTATATATTACTTTATTACTTTTGTTATATATTATAATATGGCTAATATACTCATGTTGATATGTATTGTGAAATATCTAAATATATTATAGTATAAAATCTTGAAATTTAACGAACTGGTTGCATTTATTTTACACAAATGTTTTTTATTCAAATGAGGTATGCTCGTAACGAACTTCTAACTTGGCAGTTGATATTGAGCTTCACTTAACGTTGACCGAATCCGATTAATTTTGTTTTTATAATGATTACTAATAACTCATTTTATAATTCTAATTTAAGTATTTGAATGATTTTACTAATTACTAAGTTAAATCCAAACGACTAATTATGAAAATAAAGGACCTATTATGCACTATAATAAACAATAGCTATTATATATATTATATAATAATTAGTGAACGACCAAAAAAGCCCCTTTCTATTAAAATATAATTTGTAGCGCCCCTTTAGTGGCTCGTCGAACTCACTTCCCTGTCAAACTCTTGTGTCCGAAAAATTAACTTCTGGCGCATGCGTCGCGCGCCGAAACCGAAACGCTACGTGAATGACTAGCTTACGAAACACAATTTTTATTGAAATTTTGTAATAAAAAATAATTTAAAGCAATGTGTATCTTTTTCTACTGGCACAAAAAACCCTACGAAGCTAGTCGAGTCAAAACTTCATTAATTACTACAAATTTAATAAGTATCATAAATAGCTACATACTTTTTACTAAATATACTAAATTGCCTACTAATTTATAATTTTTGCGATTAGTATATACCTACAGTGAATGTAATTTATAATCGAATAATATTAATTATCGGATGACATTAGTAGTCGGATGACATTAATAGTCGAATTATATTAGTAGTCGGATTACACTAGTAATCTGATGACATTAGTAATCAGATGAAATTAGTAATTGGATGCATAAAAATAGTAATCGAACGATTTGAAAATTATACAAATAACACTTTTCTATACTCCCATACAAACGATTCGTAATAATACTTAAAAGTCAATTTGAACTTTAATACCATTCCATAAAGTTCAAGTGTTAGTGGAGTGGTTCCGGGAAGGCAAAATAATTAAATGACATTAGTATGGTATAAATATTGATGTTAGATTTAAAATGCAGGGACTGCGGCGCTATTTAGTATCAGCAGGGCCCCTGCGCGAAGCCGGGACGGGTTGCTAGTAACAAATAAATACTTAATATCATTAGTACCTAACTTTCGAAATATTGCACAGTGACGTATGGACAGATTCTTTTATTTGTTACTTCATACCTCAGATAAAATCGATATCTCTGGTTTATACATACCTCGACTACATACATATTTATATACCAGTCGGTAAGTAGGTCTATTTGAGAGACCATTAATAAGGAGATTTTCAGGTCCACACTATGTATGCTTAAAACATACATATCTATCTAAAACTAAGCAATAGTTGCGTATGTTATATCTGTGTTATGTATAAGCATGTTATAACTTTGTAATGAATAAATAAATAATATAAATTCATTATAGGAAAAAAAAAACAAGAATTTGACGCTTACCTGTGTCTGATATTCTAAAGGTTGTCAAAGTGAATATCAAATTAATAATGACGACATTTTTGGTTTTCTTCGAAGTACGTAATAGGAATTCAATGAATTATAATGGCAATTGAAATACATATCTTCGTTTAAATCCAATATGAATAAGGCAGGAGCACCTAAGACAATTGTAGATATATCCCAATTTTGCAAAAGCACTTTTACTATAAGTTTTGCAGTTGAAATACTTGGAATTGACGTATGGCATGACTGTAATGAAGGCTGGCTGGATTTAGGGCCATATTTGCAAGGGATGAAGATACAATACAATTTATATCCTGGTTTTAGTTATGACCTGGATATACTTATTTGGCCACATGCTGCTAAGGTTAGTTTCTCTAGGTATACATCTAATTTATTGAAACTTCTTCAATTCCTTATAGAACCAACACGGGAGTAAACCCTATCAATAGAAGAAAAGAAAAGAAATTGTTAGTAATGAGGTCGGGCGGCAATTACTAGCTATATTTTTACACAACTTAGAATAGCAAACAAGCTGACGGCCGACCTGATGGAAAGTGGTAACCATCGCCTATAGACATGAGCAATACCATGGACATAACAGAGTATACTGTTTCCATGATACCCCCCATGCGGTGCCATTCCTGAGGACTCAGGTGTTATTCCTCTGTACCCAATAAATTCACGCCATTAGCTGTTAAAAATTAGCTATATAATTTATCAGGTCTACTGCCACCCGGTTTCCCAAAAAACATAATGGTTAATTTTTGATAAATTTATTACGATGAACCAACTATCTGACTACTTTCATCCTCATCTATCATTCCCTATTGGTGTTCTACCGATAACATCGATAGGATTACTATTAGATCATCATCCATTAAAAAAGACTTATCAACAGTTAATTTTAAAGTTATTAGCAATGGCACTAAAATTGGGCCTGGAGAGTCCCTGTTACTAACAAATAATTATTAGTAACATTGGCTATCCACTGTTTACCTAATATCTTATATCTAGGGCTATTGTAACCGCTTACCATCAGGTGGATCGTATGGTTATTTGCCACCTCAGTTGTATTTTATAAAGTAATTTTTTTAAAATTAGTAATGACTAAGTAAACTGATATGGACTCCGCTGTATGGTCCCGGCATAGAATGGGCCACCCCTTCCTTTCTCGTGGGGGTCATAAGAGGCGACTAAGGGAACTTAATGGTCGGGGGATAGGTGACCCTCTTAAAACATCATGATAGCCTAACTGAAGTTGCCAACCCGCCTGCCAAGAAGGCAATTCTGCCAAGAGTGGTAATTACTAGCTAAACCTCCTATGGGGAGGCGTATGTTGAGCAGTGGACAGTTAACGGCTAATATGATGATAATGATAAATAATGAAGTAATATACATTTATGTATATACATTTATGTATATGTTTTAATAAATTTTTACAGATCTGGTGTGGAACACATTACGGTTGGGTGCGGACTTGGCAGTTCTTGCAACGTCGATGGTTGTCATTCTCAATACGCCACGCGTTTCCTGTAAGAGTCACGGAGCTCCAAACATACATAGCTGCAGTCACTCCAATTCCAGGAATAGGCGCGCTGGGATCAAAGTAAGCATGTAATGTACTTTAAGTACTTTCATACTTAAAGCACGTAAGTATAAAGTCATGTGTGTAATTTAGAGAGCAATGCTAAGAAAAGCTTAGCTAATTTAATGAAAGCTAATGCTTCAGATCAGATACAGTTCGCTTATATATTTTTTTTTTTAAACTCAAAATTAAGATTCTACATGATATTTTTTACATAATACAGCAAATGTTAGCTGCTAATCTACAACCATATAGCACGATTAGTATCTATTTATTACCACTTTAATTTATCACTTTTAATTGATTTTCGTCTGTACTTTAAAATTTTTTCATGTGTATATTACACGATATCTTTGTTACTTTTGATCTAACTTTTATTATTTTACTCTTTTTAATCAAAAAACTTCTGAACTGTTTTGTATCCATATACATTTTGTTAAAACTAACCTTTTGATGGAACACCAAAAGTAGGTATCTATGTGTCTCATAACGCTCATTATAAAAAAAAATCGATTAGGGGTCTTCTTTTTTATATCAATTGAACTAAAAAAAATAATTTACGCAAAATAAAATAAAAAAAAATTATTTAAATAAACTTCATTATAAACATTTTTAAATAATGGTTTTATGAGTTTATCGTACAGTTCGAAATGTAAATTTAATTGAAAAATAAAACGGGCTAGAAACTCAGCTGTTGCTTTAAATCTGGCAAAAACTAATTTAATTAATTTAATTGCGAAATTAATACGGTCTGAGTTTTAAATATTTCCAAAAATAATATATAAATGGTAGAATAAGCGCTACTGTACTTATATTCTGTCATATTCATAATATTATTTGTATCTATATGCAACGGGAAACTATGTAATTTGTACATAGTAACCTTTTGTCATTCTTACTTGAAATAAAGAAATATTATCAAGATAATTATAAAATTAAAGTTACTGCCTTAGTACATAATATTACGTCTACAGTACATTATAAATTTGTAGCGCAAAGAACGACAAGAACTCTGAAGTATACCTTCCCCCTTTGAAATTTGGGGAACGTAGATATTTCGCCGCTGTCACGGAGTCTGAAGAAAGTTTGTCAAAGTTTACACAAGATTTAATTTGGAAAGCTGTAGAAAATTACATACCTGCATCGTATTTAGATGGATTGTTCGATGTGCCATTCCCTGTAACAGGTAATCTTTTACTATTATAAAATCGTAAGATTTGAAAAGTTACATTATTATCACTATAGCATTGAGCTTCAGAATTCTTTATGATTTGAATCATAAACATTTTTGTTTTTTCATTAAAGTACGTAAAAAGAAAAAAATATAAAATGAATATGATTATTCCCAAGTTTTCTTGTATCAAAAATATACACTTATTTCAATACGCTTCATGGAGCATCGCTCAGATAAGTGTCCGTAAGGCGAGTTCTTTTTGGTGTCAGATTCCTATCCAATTTAGAGTCTTCATGAGGGCCTCTCCATAAATCAAGTACCGATAAAAATTTGACGAATTTAATCTGACTATGAAATATTATAATAACAAATATCTATCAATATCACATCTTGTTGTGTATGGTAATTATAAATATTAGCATTATTATTTTATGTTAACGGTGTACAATGGTGGGAAGCGGCATCAGTGGAGGAAGAAATGAAGAGGATGAAGTCAAGTCAGTTGGTCTATCGTGGCTAATACAATAGTAATTAATCACGATAGTTTCCAGGGCGGGGCACCAGTCAGAGATGATAAATGTGGATGAAAGCAGGTCCGTTCGTCTATCGTGATCGATTCATCAATAATCAACCACGATGGTTTCCAGGGGGAACCGCGTGGAGGTCGACCTGTTAGGGTATATTGCTAGCATCGGGACTGTTAAACCCCATCACTAACAATCTGTTTAAAAAACTCACATCACTATAAATTTTATAATATCCTCCAAACGCGTAATATTCTACCGATTACCGAGAAGACGAACAGAAAAATGGTCGGCCCCAGTCCAACGTCTACCGCGTAATATTCTGCAACGAGTTGCTGTTGTGTGCCTATTTACTGTGTGGAGAACTCGTGAACCTCATGGACATTCCCTATTATCGTTCCCAAGTGTCGGGAGTGATTGTTTACCTAACATATATAGTGTGGTTTTCACAAGTAGACCAAAATAGATCAACGCCATTGTGACATTCACGTGGCGTGGCTTCCTGAAACCTGGTGCATCGTGAGCGTGTACCGCTTACGCTAAATCCACAGTTGAGTCCGTACCATTTTGACATACAAACTTCTTTTATGGGACTTAGAACCCGGGCCTAGCTTAGGTCTCATATTGCTACTTTCGCTTCCACTTGTGCTAACATAGTTACAATTTAAATCAGCCACTTTCCTTAACACAATCCCTTTCCCCCCAATCTCAATAAGTTTAAATAATAACTTTATAATTAACTGGTTATTCTCCTTAAGAACAGACGCTACTTAGTTTGAAAAAGAATAAATAATCGTACTATAATGATTTGTGAATTAATAATTTAATTTAGTTCATTAAGCATATTATTATTAAGTATTCCTTATGTGACCAAGAACTAGTAGGAGCTAGTATATATTGTATATGCAGAAGCAAATGCGATTAAAATAGATATGTATAGGTAAGTAATAGCAAGAAGTATCAAAATTCATATTTTATTAAATAGTAAATTAATTTGTAGACGTCCGCCATCAGGATGCAATTATATATCACGTAAGAGAAACTATTCTTAACAAAAATTTAATAGAGAAAAATGAAGAGATACCAGAACCAGAAGAACCTAAGTCAAGAGACAGACGTGAATCTAAAATGGCCAAAGAGAAAGAAAAGAAAAAAGTTATTGAAGTTACGAAGAAAAAATTTGAAATAAAATTGCTAGGCGATACTCTCTTAGCAGGTAAAATTGTTTCGAGACCTTCGTTATTATTGTTAAATCGCATAGTTACCTACTAAAATAGAGGATTATATTCATACTATACTTTCCACGTTTCTATTGTGAATGTATCCATTGAAAATATAAATTGCGTAAAAATTTGTTATACGTCTGTATACTCACTGTACCGAACTGAATATTTATTTGTCTTTGCTTTTGAATAAGTAAAATTCTTAAAATACCTAACTGGACAAACAATCAACTATCAATAAAAATGTAATATATTTAACGAAGCATTTTAACAGAAATGAATTTTTAAGTTGTTTATTAATAAATTAATTTTGTAAAGAGTTTGCAAGTTTAAAAAACAGTGATACTTTAGTTGCATTACATTAAAACTGGAATCTTGGCCTTCTGTTTTAGTACTACGTTATTTTGTTTACAGTAAATTTAGTAGTAGTAGTAGTAGTACTTTAAGTACCTGCTTATGTACAATTTATCAAATATCAAGTTTTAAATTAATTCAACGCCAGCTTATTATATACATTTGCTTTTTGTAGATAAATTACATTTACCTAATCTCAATTAATTAATTAAAAAATTTCTATAAAATAGTTGAGTGCTCTTTCATGCAAATTGAGTTCAAATATTGAAGTGGAATACCATTACTCAATACAGTGTTTTTATTCAGGTACAGGCAGAATAATTCCCTTTGAAATATATGGTGATAGAGCACCGGAACTCGGAGAAATTATAGCCTTAATTAGCAGCAATAATTTACCAGCAGAAGATGATTTGCCAATATTATTTGTGAATATAGAAACATTATATGACATTCCAATTAAAGATCTTAAAAAACTCAGGTTTTATTTTTTTATGATACATTATAATTTAATTTTACTAGTATTATTGCAAACAGGGGAGACTTTTATAGGGTCTGTAAGCAAAGATCTGTTCTGAGCTATCTACATAGTTCAATTTTCTGCTATTATCATCTAGTTATCTATTATCCACTACTGAACTTTGCTTTCCTTGAATCTTACAATAAATAGTACTAAATCAAAAGACTCAAAAGATTATTTCAAATGCTTTTGTTGACTTCATGGGATTCAATATTTATTCACAGCGCTTTTTACTTTGAGTTATTTTTCGAATTGTTTGAAGTTTTGATATGATTTGAAGTAATAAAATAAATTTCAAATTGCGGTGGTTTAAAAACTTCGCTATTTTATTAAGTTTCGCTACTATAAGTCTACATGCAACCGCCAAATCTTCTTCAAGTTAATTCAAGTAAAATAACATTATGCATTATATGTTTTAGGATAACGCAACTCTATACAAGATGGACAATTGCAAACTGGAAACGAGACTCGGAGGTGAATTTGATAAAAAATCAAAATGAAATAAAATTTAAAGATCATCACGTTTTACCTTTACATCGATCAGTATCCGCACAAGTCACAGCTACATTTTTAGATAATCCGTTTGAAATTCAAGTATGTGTATAATTAACAGACACAAATATTATATGCATTTTATGTACTTTTATACCTATTAAAAAGTCTCTCAAAAGATTTAAATTTTTATTAAATTTAATGTTTTTAATTATAATGTTTATGTCTATAAGTGATGATTAACACAACAGGTCTAAAAATTCAAAATTTCGTTTATTTTAATATTACGCCTTAGGTACTTTCACTACAAAGGTATTAAATTTCTATTATGAACAGAATATAATTAAGCTGTTTTTTTTTTTCTAATTATTATTTCTTTTTATTTTTAGTTACGAGGAATACGCACATTAAATTTATCCAGCAATAACCCAAGACTCTTTGGTTACTTAAAATATGACCGTGATTTTGGGATAGCCGCTCCACCTAAATTGCCTAATGAAGATACAGATGTACTTATAGCGGTTACCAAAATCGACGGTAGAAGCTTAGCTAAAAGAACTAATGAATTTATAAGTGGAGAGTATCCTTTGTATCCACCTACAACGTCAATTGGGAACTTGGAACGCAAAGATCTTTGTACGAATGATATTAATGCTATCAGAGCACCGATAAAGACTAACTTGATTGTCCCATCGTATTTAGTTTTGCAAGCACAAATGACATTGGGGGTATCATTGGGATTAGTTGGATGTCGACCTAAAACCCTGGCCTTGAGTTTCTTACGGTTATTTGCTATTATTGTCGAAACAGAAAGTGTTATGGCAATGTTAAAAGAAATATCCACAATTAATGATGAATTAATAGCAACTTCTAAAAAAGATATGGCACTAACTGGGTTTGCTCTTGATGTGGGTGATGCGATAATATTTTATTTGGAAGGTCCTACCGATGGTGATATATTAAAAGTGTGGGAAATGACACAGAATCTTTATCCTAACATGAAACCAATATTTTCTAGTTCGGCTAAATATTCGACTAGAATTTATCCAGGTATATTTTTGTGGTAGTATTATTTTTAAAAGTTGGATATATTAGTTGAACATAATTAGCTTTCATTTGAATGTATAAATGTATAAATTGTGATTCAATTTGTTAATTGGAGTTTTAATCTGAGCGATATTAAAACTAAGTATAAGCAAAATCAATTATCTTACTTTTCGTAGTATTGTAATAACGAAATAAGGAACAAATTTAATTAATGTAATAAAAAGTAGAGGCTCATTATTTTTTATGTTATATTCGTATAAGACTGCAAAATGTAAAAAATCGCGATGATTTCAGTACAATGATAATAACGCACAAATTATCTCTTACTACCTTTAATCATCTTAAATTTTAATCATTTAATTTTGATCAACGTAATATATGTTTATTTCAATTTTCTATAAATATTGAAATCTCCTAATGTGCATAATTAGTAGACGTGATTAATTAGTAGTAGATATGTTAGCTTATTTAAATTAATATGTAGTATTTATATTTATTTTATTTAACCGTGTAGATCCCGGCATAGAATAGGCCACCCCTTCCTTTCCCGTGGGTGTCGTAAAAGGCGACTAAGGGACAGCGAGAGATGGGCAGCAGCCCTCTTAAAACATTTTCAAAATCTAACTGCGGTTGCCAATCCGCCTGCCAAGCGTTGGCAACTACTGGCAAAACCTCCCCTTATTGAGAAGGATATGTTCAGCAGTGGACAGTTAATAGCTGATACAACAATTTATGCTTTACATTGACTTATTTTTACAGAATTCCTGGAAGCTGCCATGCCATTTAGTATTCTCAAAATGTATGTACCCTTGGCAGTACTTTTGGCTTACCCGCCTGTATATGTTCGCCCAGCTCTTCCAATACCTACTAGATCTGTAAGATTTTAATTCAAATCTACATTAGATAGTTAAGAATTCAACAAATTAGTATAAGTTAAAAGTATAAGCGCCTACTTTAAGAATAATGAAAACATTATGAGGTTGAATTAGGACTTAAAATAATTCATGTATGTGTAGAAATTCATACTTGTACTAATAATATAAAGAGTAAGATTATTTTTTTTGTAATAGATGAACTCAAAAACTACATAATTGATTTTCAAAATCTTTTACTTATAGAATATTATTATCAACGAGCAGCATAGGCTACATATAATTTAAAAAATATAGAAATCCCTGCTAAAATTATTAATAATTAATTATAGTATCATAAATTTGTCCATTGAAGCTAAGCAAAATATTATCGTTCTATGTTATGGGTCGCTAGGTCATTATATGTATTATACTAAATATTAAGGTTATATTAAACCACACCTATGCAGAAGTGTTGAATTAAATGAAATTATTTCAATTAGTACCGTATGGTCCCGGCGTAAAATAGAATATATTGTGTCACCCATGATACCATTCATACGTTGCCAATCCTGAGGACTAGAATGTTATGTCTCTGTACTCTATGATTTAATTACCGTACCTATTTCACCCTTCAAATCGAAATACAGCTATGCAAACCCAATTGTTTAACGACAGAAACACGAATGGGACACAGGTACTTAAACAGAGTCTTTCTCTGGTAAATTTAATTAATTATTTATTTGTATTTTCTTTGCAGGCTATTCTGAAAATAGGACGTATAGTATCCGGTAAATTTCGATCACTACCATGTCGCAATGAGATGCCTTCTGCATTTGAGCTAAACAGTTTCAGATTGGAGCTATGTGTTGCACCTCGGCCAACTTCTCTACCTCAAATGGGCAAAGCATTTGGTAACATGATTAATATTTAAGCGCTGATTTTCCCGAAAACCTATTAATTCAGAAACTTTATGCCTGTCATGAAATGCCGAAATGAAGCCCATAGACAAACGTTTACTTCATCATAAATAGCGTTTATGAATTGTTCAAACGTAAATTATATAAAAACGACAGCATTTATTCGTAATTTTAGTTCGCATTTCATTTAATTGTAAAATATTTCATTTAGATTTTCATATATTTTTCGTAAATTGGCTTAGTTAATTACCAAAAAATTACGAAATTTGTCAAGCTAGTTAATATTTCGTGGTTTCGTCACAATTATTCTATTAATCTTTGAGAGCTACTTTCATGATCTTTAGAGCTTTTAATTAGATTATCATATCATATATTTGAATTAGATTTTTATAACTTTTAAATATATAGTAGCAGTTAGCTATATTAACGTGATAGACTTTCAAATATTTGAAGGTTTTATGTACGTTTTATTTACATGTATTATTTATATGCATAACACAAGCATAGACACGAGATACTAATAATACCTTCTATAAAATTACTGATAATATTCATTGCTTTTATATACCCACTTATTTTATTCTAGAATCCGGTACTGCGATCCAATTGCCAACACAATCAATGCAGATAATTAATTGGGATCATAATTAAAGCGCGAAATTTATTTAACTTAAATACCTAGGAGTATTTTAATGATTTGTATTTTGTATTCAATCTACATCATATTAAAGCAGTATTTTGTGATAATTAATTAGTATTAAATTATATATCAGCTAACGTAATTATATATTTAGAGTGTTTAGCAATTATATGCCCTGCGTAGATGATGGACTGTTCGTTACATTTAGCGTAGATTTAGATAAATTTAATCCTGAATTAATTAAAACGTAGTATTTTTACGTAAAGAATAAAGTCCTAGGATACAATTTATATGACAATGACGTTTCGTTATTAAATGCTGAAATTAAATAAATGATCACTTTGGAAATTAAATATTTTAATCCGTGTATTTAGGGATAGATTCTATAGAGGACAGACAGAAATTATGATCTACTTTTAAATAAGTAACAACAATAAAATAATAAATTATTAATATCGTTGAAAATAAACGCTGCCTTGTAAATTAAAACTGAAACTGTAGCTATCTGTTTACTACGAGTAAACCAAATAAAGTAAAAGTTAATAAAGCAGCAGTGAATTAAGTATTAATTATTTCTCCTGGCTGTTAAAGTGTGCAATGCATTATTAATTATTTTACAGTTGAAATTAAATTGGAGTATTTTTATTACAGTTAAAACAGCGTTTTATAAAGTAACCTTTAATATAAAACCTCTGTTTATTACTAATCATATGATATACACAACTGATATTTTTATTATCATATATATATATAATATAACATACGTACTTAATTTCAACAAATATATTGTATTTGTTCAGAGAAAATATTAGCATCTATTTAAATTTCGTTGTATATTAATTAATTATAAATAAATAATTTATGAATTTTCTAATGTTTTATTACTCTCATTTTTTGTAACATTTTAATATTAGCTTGTATGTATCCCCTTTGTTACGCGAGTTTTCATAACAAAACCCTTGCTCCGGGAGAGACGAGTGTGTATTGTCGGACAACTACTGGTTAAAGCTAAAACTTCACGGTTACACCTTTTTGTTGTAGTGTCAGATAATAAATAAATTTTAAACAAAGAAACAAATGGTACGTGTATTTATTATCGTGTTATACAGTAGTTTGAGGGTTAGCGGGAAGTTTTACGTGCACCTGTGCCAATGTACACGAGGATCGCATGAAAATCTCCGTGTTCTTCTTTAAGGAAAACTTTTAATACTAGAAGAAGAGCTAATTTTTTTGCAAGATTTAGAGAGATTTGAACATTGACTTTAATGAAAGAAGAAATGTAAGTAAGTATTTTTTAAATTTTGAATGACGGTACTACAAAATTGAGGATAGGTATTTATCTCGTAGCTCAGAATCTTCAATATTTTTGGAATCGTGGAAGTATTGTAACGTTATTAAGTACGATAAAATTATTAATAGGTTTTATTAGTTTTAAAATAATAAAAAAAAATCGTAGTTTATAAACAAATAGGTTTTAACAAAAGATCCACTATTAACCTATCCAATATTGAAACGAAGATACAGAGTAAGTACATTACTCTTTCTGAATGATGTACATATTCAACAAGGGCAAATAATAATTCTGTTGTATGTAGATTTAAGGATTGTATGTAGAGCTAAAGTAATCCAGTGTCTGGCTGTCACATAATTTCTTTACGAGCGAAAAGACATAAAACCTAAACTCGAAGCCATAAGTTCATAATATAATTCTCGCAACATTTACTATTCTTTCTCTCTTATGTATTGTTTGTCTTGATAAAGAGGGAAAGAAAATTTGAGTATCGTGACATGTCCTTGCACAGTCAAGTTCAATGTTGAACGATTTGCATATTTCGTAGTTTGCTTCTAACTTAATTTCTCTGTTTCAATAGATTGGTTTATGTAGCTCTCATTTTTATTTACACATATTACCTCCAACATTTTATTTACATTGTATCCTAGAAATTGAAAGTAATAATTGTGAATACTAAAGTCTGAGTCGAGTCTGAATGAATACTGAGATATGTCAAATTAACAAAAGATTATTTTTTAAAGTTGATTGCAAAAAGTTTTCCGTCTGTGTCTATTAAAATGCTACCTACACTATTTTATAATTTATTCTGTAATAAAATAGACTTTGAGAATGATTTTTAAAATAAGTATTATGTATTCTAATGATAAATGAAAACGTAAATAGTATAAATCAGGTGGATGTGAAGAGCTCTTTGTCCTATTGTATAAGTTCCAAGGGCAAGTCAAATGAATGATTAAAATATACGAAGTAAGATTATAAATATATTATTATAATATGATGATAATGTTATACAGATGTCACTAGATACATTAAAAATAGTACCTTTTTAAATCGAGTATTAGTCAACAACAACACAGTCATATTAAGTTCTTTGTTTTAATAAAATTTCATAATGGCAACACTCCCAATATCCATCTTCATTGAATGGTCAACATAAAATGTATCAACGTGTAAATAAACGTATACGAGATCACAGGTATTTAGGTATTAAGTGCTAACTGAGCTGAGTATAAGAACTAATCTTTTTTAATTGATTCGGGTACTCAACTTCATGGTTTATGCCGCTATCTTTATTCACTCGTTTCACACAACACACGTCTCTTATTTGAAGTTTCAAGACAAAATAATTAATTAAGTAATTGTCAGCATAGAATACACATTATTAATATATATTGTTAAATATAAATTGCTATAACAAAGAGCTTATGACATGAAACGTTAAGACGTTAATTAGGTTATGATTTCTCATCTTCCTATCATGCCGGAGTAAATTTAAAGCTGAATAAATAATCCTTTATTACAATGGTAAATGAATTTTGATTGTCTTAGTGACTAAAATGATTGAAAAGGCGAGTAAGAATTCTTCAGGACAACAATTTTATCTGTCGTTGTATTTATACTAAATTGCTAGTCTAGACATCTAAAATTTTACATTCAATATTGTTTACACTGTATAATAATCTGTTTTTTGCAGCTTTGTCTGCATGAAACCGTATTAACCGTAGAACAGTAATTTTCACAGAATTTTTTTTTTATTGATAGGTACTTATTTAAAAACTCCGCATAAAATGTACATTTCCAGATCTAGCAATTTCGGTTCTTGTTTGATTACACAGTCAGTTTATTTCTTCTCATTAGGCTATTAGTTGCACGAATTTTGTAAAAAGTTTTCAGAAATTCTACAGAAATGGGAGTAATTGGTTTTGTAATCAGGTTTACAAACGACATTATAGATCATAAAAACAAATTTGTATGTTGTTTAGTTTATCTGCAATATTTTTAATACTTTCTACGCTCTCACTTTACATCAACACACACACATAGTTACATCTAAACATATATATTGATCCCTGTAAAAGCATAACTACGGTGATATATGGAGACTCCTGCCCTCTGGTGCGGACGCCGTGTAACAGTAATTTTGCGTGGGAGATCTAACATATCGGCTGACTATATTTTTGGAAATTGGTGTCAATATTTGCAAATTATTTTATTATTTTATTCATTCTCTATATGTGTATACATAAGCGAAACCCTGAACCAACAACTTAGTATGAGATGAAGTAGGCGATGAAAGCTAAACTTCCTCGGAAGTCTCTTTATTTAACATATGCATTGTTATGTACCTTAAATTATATAGATAGAGCCTTGAGCCTGAAAAATGGGTTAACTTTTGGACAGTTAATTGTCAAATTAACTGACTCGATTTTTACAGTGTTCTATATATTTACGCATAAAATGTATCTTGTAGTGTTTCCACATTAAAAATATACAGAAATTATAAGACCAAATAAATATAGAAGTTATAAAGGAGTCACTCATAACTATTTATCACGCAAAATAGTATGAAAAAATTGACCCGCTTTTCTCGAAGCATTTATATGAAGACACTATGTATATAATTTAAATTATGTACATATAAATTATGTAAATGAAATGAATACAAGTTTGTTTATCGTGTTAGGTCTATACGAGTATAATTATTCAGTCATACCTTAGGTTTACTTTATTGAAATAGGTGATGTGAAATATCATATTTACATCAACTACTTTATATATTATCAACTGAAACACTGTAAATGTAAAGCATTGTGTTAGAGTCAGATCTCAAATTACGTTAGATGTGGTTCCTTGTTATTATAGGATGGCGTAATTTCCTAATTAGTTTCGCCGCAATCCACAATATCTTGTGGATTTCCGACTTTAGTCACTTTATTTAGGTCTAAGCTTACAGTTTATTAACTCAATTAATTATATATGATGAAGTAAATAAGATTTCTCGCACATTCATTATTATAGTCTCGTCTTGTAAACCATTAACGCCATTTTATGTTGTGACAAAATTAGTGAGACGAAAATGGATAAATCTTCAATTTCAGTAAGAACCATCAAAATTAAAAGAAAAAAGTTTTATACCACTAATATTTTACTGTTAAACTTGGTAATAATATATTTTTATTTCTGGTCTTCAGTAAAATATTAATCACGTTTATTTATATACGTACTAGTGCCTATATGGAAAAATAAATAAATAATAAGAGATGGATGGATACAATTCAACAGGCAACTGGGACTACGCTGAGCAAGAGTTCATTATCAAAGCATAAAATAGGTGGTGGCACATATTGTACGTCATAATCACGCCCCTCAACCATGGAGATATGAAGAAAAAGAAGATAAATAAGTCTACTACGATATCTATACCAAAACTTGGGTGTCAAAATAAAGATTATCTCCATTTACGAGGGCAACATTTTGCTTTTTATTGATGCACCATAACTATGACATTTGAGGAGCTATTCCCCGCGATAGATGTATTTTGTTGCCGTGCAATCACACCGTCTGGTCTCAAGAAACTACGGTTCAAATTAAGAGTTCGCGGTCATAAAAATGGTATAACTGCGTATTCGTCCGGGCAATAAATCGTGGTGTCATAAAAACGAAAACGGGAAAGCAATAAAATCTGTCATCTTAAGTAATGCCATCGTGTCTTAGGCTTATCTGCTAACGACGACAGAAATCTTTGCGCCTCTGAAATTGGTGAGATGCTAAGTAAAATTTGTTACGGGTGTTTTTCTATAGCGCTTATTTAGGCCGTATTTTACTTTGTAAAGGCTCAGACAGATTTAACTTGAGCGATCCACTTAATACCTTCTGAATGGCACGTTGACTTCTGAATGCGTCTAAGCAGTTGGCATTACTGGTATTCTATATTTTACAATATTTATTACGGAAATGTATGAAACAAAGGGCCACAATACTGAGTAATACTAAATAAAGGATTATTAGATGGATAATATAATAATAAGATATAAGCAGAAGCGTTTTTTTTAATGGGTGATAATGGAATGGTAACCCCACCTGCGCTATCGGTATACACCAGTGGGGTACCAGTGAAGGATGATAGGTGAGGATGAAGCAGATCAGTTAGGCCATCAAATCGAATTCAACAAGAATTATATACGACGTTTTCCGGGGGGAACCACGTGGAGGTCGACCTAATAGAGCATATTGCTAGCAATGAGGCTGTCAAACTCTTAATATTTCTTTTTCCCCCAAGCAGAAGCGTTACTCAAAAGGACAAATAAGTAAGTTAATAAGTATTGTTATTTTTCTTATTTTTATCAGTACCATCTTTGTGCAATTAGTAGGTTTATACTAAGTCAATATTATACTTTCAGAATTTAATATCCTACATGTTTATCCTGTATGTATCGTTTTCCTAGAGCTCTGTATACGTAAAAAAAAAACGAGTAATCATGGCATTTACTGCTACAAGATGTTTATTGCCTGGTATTCTATATGTTTAGATATAGACGGAGCATCAAGATGGGGCAAGTGTGAAAAAACGTGTCAACTTTTAGTTAGTCAAACTTCGTGGACATATGATTTTTTAAATTAAAACAAACGCACTTTTTTCAGTGTTGCAAATAATAAGATTAAAAATTAACCAGATCAGATCGATTTTTAAATTAGAGTTGGCAATTACTTTTCTTATTTAATATAAATATACAGATGTATATATTGCTTAAAAATCAATATACATGTATTTATTAAAATAATGCCCATTTACATATGTATGTAAATGGTACGTACGTACATAAGTACATGTCAGTCATGCCTGCTTTTAGCGACCATTATCAATAATTTAATGACGAAAATATCCTTTATGTCTTTATTCTGGTATAAATCAAAGTATTCGATAAAAATAAGCATCATTACGAATCATTATGGACTGTTAATGTGGCACATTAGGGCTCATTATACCGTATACACGCAGCATGAGCAAAAAGTTCGCCTATTTTTAGCAAAGTATTTGTATTGAGTTACTCTATTTATACCTATGTAACGTAAACTCATTCGCATAATTTGAAGATTAGAATTTATATCTTGATTTTCTTATATTTATTATACAAAATTGTAATTATACAATAATCATATTTGAGTTTAATTTTATCTGTACTTATGCGTAAAGACATTAATAAATACAAGTATAGTTTTATGAAACCATAAATGAAACTTACAATCGTACGTATTGGGTACTTGTAATATCTACTTAATTTTATTAAAAAAACTCGGTTGCTTAATTTATTACTAAGAATAAGCACAGGTACGTAGCTACAAGGTAAAGTGAAAATTTTGTTTCACATTTGAAGTCGAGATTAAAATTTACAACCAGACTTAATAATAAAACATTTTACACACCTAAATGTTATAAAGTTAATAATTACACCTAATTTACAACCTTTTGCGAAACTTTACGCCAAGTCTGCAGGTAAGTCGCCAAGAATGAAGTCTAAATTAAACTCACGCAATTTCATTTAAATGAAACTTTGATATGTAATATGTATGTAACTTCCATTATGGTGATATCTATTCTCTCACTCGCTTTTGTTTGTACATGCAATGGTTAATAGGCTTTCTTGTATTTTGCTTTATACAAATTGTGGTGTAATTAAACTCAGGATTACATATAAGATTTAATCATATACTGTAAATAACACAAAAATATGTGAATTATTTTTTATCCGGAATCAAATAACAAGAGTTATTTAATTAGTTATCTTTTGTTCTTTTAAACTTATTATGTAAGTATATGTACGTATTTTGTACATGCAGAGATAATATTTATATAGTATATATTTATTAATAATTATTAGTTTAAAGGTTACTTTGTATTAAGGTAGACACATTTGTCATTATAGTACTAAGAAATAATAAACATATAATAATAATAAGTAAAGTTTCCACTTCTTATTGTGCGCATACTGCCCGCTGGTAATTAATGCTCCTTCCCACTCAAGATTTGCTCGAAGAGAACTCTTACAGGGTTAAGCTCGCCGATCGCCTTTATATATAATAATAATATAATAAATTATATATATATCTTAATACATATACATTATAACATATTGTACTTACCTCGTTCCTTCCCTCTTCCCTTTACCTATCGTGTCCTGTCACCCGGCTTTCCGCACGATGTGATTGGTCTGCTAGCCGCTTTTCGGCATCGTCGCCCGCGTCGCTTCTTCGAAAACGGCATGTTTCCGCCCGCCAGTCTGGCAGTGACCTACGCGTTGACACCATCTCAAAGTCGTGCCGCTTTGCTATCGACCTGAAGATTCCACCGTTGCATGTTTATGTGAATATTAACAATTAATCAATAACTATTTGCTGTATGTAAGTGACTACCAACTTGCCCAGTTTATACGGAGTGTGTATGTGTGTGCCGCTTGATGTGAACATTTAGTGCTTGTAATTCTTGATCGTGCACGGACATCTACTGCTCTATTGTTGATATGGCGCCGATGCATGGGGTGATGAGGCTGGTGGCAGCTTAGCATGGCTAGAACTCTGTGCTGGTGAGCAGTGGGTAAGTCGTTCCTCATCCTATCCTATTCTATAATTTATTATATATAGTTGCGTGTGCATTTACTGGACCGGGGCCAGCCAGCGCCTCTTACAGTCCACCCTTTCGCCCAGTTGGTTGAAATTAATTATCAACTAAAACTTATCGCAAACGAAATATGGAAATAAATAAATAAACAAGTAAATAAATAAAGAAAAGGTTCTCAACCGGATCTCGTCGTCAATGATGAATCATATGAAAATTACTTTCATTAAGTTTCTAATTTAGTTCCACATTGGCACAATTAGTTAGTGTTTTCTTTTAAGAAAGATTTTATCTTTCTTAAATGTTTTTTTTTTATACAACTTAGAATGGCAAACAAGCTGACGGCCCACCTGATGGTAAGTGGTAACCGTCGCCTATAGACATGAGCAGTACCATGGACATAACAGAGTATACTGTTCCGCCCATGATACCCCCATGCGTTGTCATTCCTGAGGACTCGGGTGTTATTCCTCCGTACCCAGTAAATTCACGCCATATCCCACCCTTCAAACCGAAACACAGCTATGCAAACACAACTGCTTTACGGTTGAAACACGAATGGGACAGAGGTACCCAAGCAATCGACTTTTGTAAAAAGTCTCCCTCCCTCTTTTTATGCTTTTGCGTAAAAATATTAAAAAAATACAGTAGTATATATATTCAGCGTCTTTATCTGCGTCCAAACAAAATGTGACCTATATACGAATTCATAATCTATTCGATTCTGCAAAAGAACTAAAGTAACCGTCATAGCCTGAAGGATAAACAAGCTGAAGTGGCAATGGGCTGGTTACATAGCCGATGAGGAAGAAAAATTCTTAAGTGGCTGCCCCGTATGGGCAAACGCAATGTAGGACGACCCCACATTAAATAGAGTAACGATCTCAAATCCATTGCAAGGAGTCAGTGGATGCAGACGAGTCAGGACTGTTCCTTATGACAGCCTATAAGGGGAGGCCTATGTCTAGCAGTGGACAGATAATGACCGAAATGTTGATGATGATGAATCAATTTGATTATAAAAGTTTAGCTATTTATTTGTGATTAACTACACACATACTTAATACCTTTCAAAATACAGACAATATATTATACCAGTAATAAATAATAAAAAATCAACATGGTTTTGTCTTTTCAATCGTTTATATTCGGGGAAATAGGGATTGTTAGTAATGGAGACTGAGAATCCCATTGCTAGCAATATACCCAACCAGGTCGACCTCCTCGCGATTCCCCCTGGAAACTATCATGGTTAATTCCTGATGAATTCATTATGATGGGCTAACTAGCCTGTTTTCATTCTCGTCTATCACCCTTCACTGGTGCTCCGCCAGGGTATCCCGTTAGCGCAGGCGGGGTTACCCTTTTCACCCATCAAAAAAAAAATCGTTTATATTCTAACATATGTCAAGAAAAACGATAGATAAAAAACTACACATCCATACTGTAACTAAATTATATAAAAACTATGAATAAATGTTAAAATGCTTTTTAATTATACATTAATTACATACAAATAAGATTAAATAAGTTTTAGCGTTGAACAAGGAAAAGTTTTAATAAATTACTGTTATGACATTATTTAGCCAAGTGGCAAGTTGTTTGTGATTTCGTTATTTAATTTTGAATTAGATTTGTCTATGTTGGCTTTTTGGACATCACTTTTCCATTTAGAGTTTTGTATGAAGACCCAAACAGTTAACAAAGTTTCTGGCCTTTTAGGCCAATAAATAGAATCAATGAAAATAATATGAGCACTTGAAGGGGACAAGAGACATCGAATGGGTTATTGTGAAAAAGACCGAGTTACAGTATATATTGAGTATAAAATCGAAAAATATTCAAACATTTCCATTAAATGTGTGTGGGTTCGAACCAACATACAATTATGAAGCAATCCGTACATACTCATATATATATATATATATATATACTAGCTGACTCGGCAAACGTTGTTTTACCATATACATTATTTCGAGCACTATAAAAAAATTATCCTACAACAATTATTATATTGGATTGCCATCTTGCAACCTATAAACCTTATAAAAATCGCGATTAAAAAACAGTGATTGATCATAAAAACATGAAAATTTGAATTTGTATGTATTTTTTAATGCTAAATCATAATAAAATACAAATGTAAAAATTTGTCAAAAGAATAAAAAAAAAAATGTTTTGGGGAGGGTCACCCTTATGATTGAGGAGTATGAAAAATAAATGTTGGCCGATTCTCAGACCTATCCAATATGCACGCAAAATTTCATAAAAATCGGTAAAGCCGTTTCGGAGGAGTTTGGTAACAAACACCGTGACACGAGAGTTTTATATATTAGGTATATAAATATATATATCTGTAATTTACGCTTTGTCTTTATTTTTGCGTCCTTTGTTTTAAATTTATAAGTAGATAGGGATGAATTGGGCTCTGTCGTTGCGACCATTGGTATTTGATCAAAAGAAGTAGATCAAAAGAGAATATTTGTAAAATTCCGATGCTTTAAATGAAATTACGGATATTGAAATTAAGATTATTAAAAATAATTAATAACAAAAAATAATTAAGAATTATTAATTAAAGTTATTAATAATTAAATATATTTAATTAATTGTGATCATATTTTATCAATCTCGGCGCCTCCATGCCTTATTCGTTATATTTTAGTAATCAAATCATCGAATTTTGTAGAATGATAGCTAAACATCCCGTACTAAGATTAATTTGAGTTTTTCGAAGTAGATTTATAGTCGAAGCTGGGAACAGCGATCGCTTGGACGACCGTTCAATTCAGTCGATCATTTGTCAGTGTCTTTGCCTTATCTGATGCGAAAACTGAATGAACTTGGGCAAATATCGACGAAGTTCTATGGAGGGTACACGCAATCAAGTACGAATATATAGTTTGATTTGCATGGAGTTTACTTAAGGTTTTTCTTTGTAAAGGCGCTTCTGACATACCGACATTCTACTGTTCATGCACTTATTGTTTCTTATTCTAATTGATTTGTAAACTAGCAGTTGTATCTGTAACTTGCGTGATCGAATTATATTAACTAGTATAAAATATTTAATGTTTTATACCAGTTAATATTTTTCGATTTACTCTTAAGTTATTTATACTCGTAATCATATATATATATATATATATATATATATATATATATCGTAATCGTAGGTATCTACGTGTGTATGTCACGATGAAGTTTATGTACATATTATCAAATTCACGACAGACAGCATTAGGTAAATAAATAAATTGAAAGAGTTTTAAATTGGAATAGTAGGCTATTTTTAAAAGCTACTGGTTTGATCTTTGCTTCGAAAAAAACTTCCTCATACCTATGTAAACAAAAAAATAATGAATCAATATGATCTAATACCTTTATTTTATATTTTTATATTTAATACTGTAACGCGATATAACTCCATCGTCTTTCAGGCGATAGAAAGCTCAGATTAAGTCCTACTGAATTCACCACGATGTATGAGACAACTGATGACTGTATTCTCACCTTTTATCTCTCACTAATACCCAACTATCTTATATCGATAGCACAGGTGAAGTTACCAATTCGTCATTACCATAAATTATTAAAAAAATACATGACGGTTGACAAAAAAGGCAGTGTTGCCACAATAATTTTGTAGATTTCATAAAATTTCACAGTGCAGAAAATTACATTTTAATACTTCAAAACGTTCATAACATCGTACAATAGAGTACAAATTTTACCGAAAGCGTGGATAGCGTAAAAGTTCTGGGAGTCAATAAAAGTCCAAGTTACTTACTAAATTTTATCAAAACTTGGGTTTCGTATTACGCGATGTGAATAGCTTTTAACGCTCTACATAATATTAAAATGACTAAAATAATCGGGAAAGCAATACCAAATACAAAATTAAATATGCCCACGACTTTGTAGCCGTAGTGATTAATCCATGAATTCCATGAAGGTATTTATCGAATATCACTGTTATAGCGAATATCACATTCGACTTGTCAAATTGAAAATAAATATTTTATAAAATAATTTATAAGATAGTAGAGTAAAAAAAAAATACTGTTCATTCAAAAATGCTTATAAATAAATTAACCATTTCATTTCCCACTTTTGCCACTCATTACGAGTTTCAGTGAGTCTCTTCATTTCTTGATACGACACGACACCAACTTTTTTCTTGATCTGTCTTATGTAACTATGCCTTGGTAGGGGGAAAGGGATTGTTAGTAATAGAGACTGAGAATCCCATTGCTAGCAATATACCCGACCAGGTCGACCTCATCGCGGTTCCCCTTGGAAACTATCATGGTTAATTCCTGATGAATTCATCATGATGGGCTAACTGGTCTGTATTCATGTTAGCGCAGGCGGGGTTACCATACCATTTTCACCCATAAAAAAAAAAAAAAACTATGCCTTGGTCTCCCCCTTCTCTTCCTTCCCTCTGTTTTACCTTCTTTTACAATGTTCGTAAGTTCGTCGTATCGTATCACGTGTCCCAATATTTTTTCCCTTCTGACCCCAAGTTTTTTTTTTAATTCGTCTCTTTTTCTTAACTCAATGAAGGACCTCCTCATTACTAGTTCGATCTTTGTAGCTAATTTTCTCTATTCTTTTACAGCACCACATTTCAAAGGTTTTAAATTTATCTGTTTCTTTTCTGGCTAGTGTCCACGTCTCACATCCATACAAAGCTATACTCCAAATATAGCTCTTGATAAGTCGCTTGCTGGTATCTTTTGGTATCACAGCCTGTAAAAGGTGTTTTTTTTAATAAAACCTTGTTTGGCCAAAGCTATTCTCGTGACTGTATATAATTAAATTTTGATTGAATTTTTATGAAAATAAATGATTGTTTGAGTGTTTGGAATAAATATAAAACACAATA